ATATACATATATGTATATACCATTAGTTCCCAAGCTAACAATATTAGCTTGCACTAACCTGAAAGCTAACAGTCTTAACTGAGGTTCTCCGATCCATAAAGCGTCTCCGTTGTCCTACATTTTCAGTTGCAGGTTGAGCCATTCTCCTCACTGTCAACGTGCTCTGGTTTAATTTAAAATGGCTGATCATCAGATACTGTCCAAGATTAACCTTGAGGGTTGATAGAGCTCCTACAGCCTCACATCAGAAAACCTAGTGAACATAATCATTTACCTGATATGCTTTGTGGCTTTAAAGAAATGGCACCAGTCTGTGTGACAGTTTAATTTTTTTTTATAAAAATGAAATAACCTACAGGATTTTTACAACATCTGTTTTACAGTTGAAGTAAATGTTTATCAAATAATGTCTGGTGTTACAAGTAATCACTGTTTCTGCAATCACAGATCTATTAAAATACAGTCTAATTTAAAATAAATTAGAATTTCAATAAAAATACAGATTTTTTATGATTTGAAATCCATTTTTATATTTAATGAAGTCATTGGCAAGCATGTCATAGATCATCTATAATCTGTCAGGATTGCCGCTCTGACTGAAATAGTTTTCATTCAAGTGTAAAAAACAATGTATGTTTTTTTATTACTTTTCGAACTCATGTGGGCCAGTGTGAAGTCACCTGCTGGCCACCTCTGGCCCATGTGTCACCACTTGATTAGCCCTGGCTTTAACCTGTTTGAAATAGATGTGACCTATCAAGGTATTTGTGATTATTTGGTTATTATTTGGAGTTAAAAATGTCATTGAAGACGTTTTACTTTTTCTTATAATATCCCGCAAAGACCCCAGAGAAGGAGGTGGCTCGATTCTTTGGATACCAGACATTCAGAGAAGATCACGCTTTGGGAACAGAAATTTCCCCCTTTAAATCCTTTTATCATGTGAAAATTTATAAGATAAGGACTGGTCTGTGAAAACAACCTCTGAACATCATCATTTACACTGTCACTGATTGTTATGTATGTTCCTCCTTGCAGAAAAAAAAGTGTTTTTAGTTAAGACAGGGAAAATTTGATAATGCATTAAAACGATCCCTAACAGAGTTTCACTAAAAGCTGTCCAGTCATTCATGTGATGTTCAGCCAACAGACTGGCAGTGTTGTACAATATGTCGAGCTATGAGCACATGCTGAGATTAATTACCATTACACCAAAGAAGTTAAATGATTTAAAATGTTGATGCAGTGAAAAAAAAACTGAGTCTGGAGAAGTAAATTCCTGTCCTTCTTTAATCACGTAAGGCTATTTTTAAAAAAACACTTTCCTCGTAAAGCAAATTAAATAAGGGATGATACCATAACTGATGGCTTCACTCTTATAGCTTTGACAGCAAAAAAGTCGTTTTTCAATACAATGCAGAGTTAATAGGAAATCTGGCTCAGCAGTAAGGTTTTGTCATCTTCCTAACTGCAACCTTTTCATTTCCCACTTGGATTCCAGTTTATATACAGTCATGAAATTAACTTATAATGATCAACAATGAAGCGTCAAAAACCAAACACCAAAATGTTGTCCTTTTTCTTCAAATGGTTGCTGTTTCAAATGTTGACAGATTTTTCCTTGTAGTGCAGTTGCAAAATGCTAGAAAAAACCCTGCCTCGGTGGTCCAAATTATTGCTATTATTCTATCCTTTTTGTACTTATTGTGATTTCTTTGCAAGAAAATAAGTGAAATTTATGTGCAAAAAACAACTGGAGTATTTACTTGTACAGAATCACAGCCTGAGGTTGTTTGAAATCAACTCCAGAACATTTATGTACAATAAAGCACATTTATAACATGTAAAAACCATTTGCTGCTGTAAAAAAAAAGGGAACCATACTTTTACTGCTAGCTGTAACCACAAACTGCCCACTGCAGTATAATCCTGAATCCACTAAAACCAAAGCTGGGAACACACTTTTAAAACCTTCATGTGTCTCCTTCTACATCTCTTCTTTTGTTACCCAAGCTCTAATGGCTCAGTTTTCTTCTCTCCAACCTGTTGCAAAGCCATATCTGATTTGCCTCCACAATGTGTTACCTGGTGCCGCTCTGCAGAGATGTTCTTATCAGACTCACATGAGATCAGTTCCAGTAATTCACTCAGTGGCTAATCAGAGGAGCCAGCAGCGACTGCACTGACATGGTTTAATTCTAGCTCCAAAAATAAGAGACTGACTTCCAAAGAGTTCTGGAAGACGCAAGAAATGAAAGGCCTTAATTGAAGGAGTGCATTTCGCCCGCCACATTTTAAGCCAGCGTTTTTGTTGACGAGCCAGCAAAAAGTCAAACCTAAAATCTGACACTTTATACTAGGATCATCTTATGTTGAGAAATGACAACATTTTAGCTATTTTGTTCACACTTTTAAAAAAGTGTTATTGCACAATCACACACATGGCAGTTTAATCTACAAGTGCTCTATGTTTTGAAGATTACTTTTATCTACTGCTACAACTAAGTTGAGCTCAACATCTGTCAAATTGGCCAAGTTGTAGCCATTTTTGCATTTGCTCAGTTCGCTTAGCTGTGGCGGCCATCTTGCATCAGATTGGCTCTAAAACTTAATCAGTTCCTCACACATTTTTTAACGTTTAATTCCCAAAAAGTCAGACCAGTGGTTCATGAGATAGTTTGCTAGCAGACACAAAGAACTCGGAGTATGTGTCAGGGATGACTCTCTATTACCACAGCACATTTAAGTTCAATATCTGTAAAAATTTTTTTAGTCTTTTGCTATTTCAGTGTTTTGTAAGGATTCAGCTTTTGGCAGCCTTGTTATATCGACTTGGTTCGATGCAGGTCTACATCCAATATAAACTTTTGGTTTTTTTTTCCGTCAAAATCTATCCAGTGGTTCATGATATATTTTGCTAACAGACAAAGAAAAGAGCACAAACACAAGCCAAACCTTTTGACTTTTAACAGCAGGCAATAAGGGTCACAAGAAATAATAAGCTGAGAAGGAGTGTGTATTTTTTGAATTATTGTACGTATTCTTTGGAACTCTGTTAGTTAGATCAGGTTGAGTAAAGTAACTGTAAACCAGAGCAATGATACTGTGATGTAACACTCAGGCTGCCATAACTGGGAGGTGACTAATTAGCTACACATGTGTCCCCCCAGCCCTCCACCCATGTTGCAAAATAAATCATCTGCGACAGGAAAATGTGCGGCATGTGGCACGGATGGGTCATGATTCGTTTTACTGACGCTTTGGCTCCCTATAAATTAATCATGAAAGTCGCAAAACCCTGTCCCTCCTTAAAAAAACAGCGTAATGCTTGTTTGTGTTGAGAATTTCTTAAGAAATCTGGGAACTTCATATCATAAAGTTGAAAACAAATGTGGCAAAGCATTTCTACAGCTAGAACTAAAGTTATCACGTCCTGATTAAAAGTTTGGCATTTTAAATATTAAAAGAACACATTTTACGTGTTGCAGGCCATAAATGTTAATATTGCGAAAGCAGAGTGTGCTGAGCGAGTTGTTGTTGTTCTCTCTCGTCTAAATGACCCCATTAGAGTTGAGGAATGTTAATAAGCCTGAGTGTTTAGAAGAAGGCAGATTACTGCCCGTTTTTAGCAGCAGCACGAGGGAATGACATGACTTTATAAAACACACACACACACACACACACACACCCACACACACACACACACACACACACACGTGCGAATGTGTGACATAACTTGGTAAACTGACCTCAGACCTGCCAGCAGAATGTGGCCAGACAGTTAAAAGGCAATTAAATATTTTTAATATGCGTTTTAGAGGTAATGGATTAGGGTGGTAATAAAGTTAAACAACAGCCACATACGCCAATTATAATAAGCTTTTACAGCTTTTCTAGTCCATCCGAACCTGAGAGTTAGAGTTAATTATAATGTCATTATAATTAAATCAGATTTTAAAGTTTCTAGATCTCAGAGGTGGACCTCACAGGTGCTGCTGTGAACCTGCCAACTCTTAATTTCTGTAATTGTGCCTGTGTTGTTCTTAATATCACAAGTGTAAATCTATGATGCTTTTTGTGTGAGTTTTGGCCACGTTTTCGATCCAGTAATAACTGAAACTTTTCTTTACCTGCCCAGGGTTCTGATTGGATCCCCTCATTCAGGCCAGCCACTGAACCGAACAGGAGATGTTTACAAATGTCCCGTGGGAAGGAGGAACAATACGTGTGTCAAACTGAAGCTACCAGGTAATATTAGCATCTTTGTGTGTTTAAGTGGGTTTAGCTCATATTCTGACGTACTTAGTGGGATTATAAGGCAACATGGGAACAGGAACTGCATTTATCCAACCCATTCTCACTCCCAAGTCGTCACATATTGACGCTTTTGCAAAGCTTCCCTCAACGTCAGATTTTGACGCGCCGGGTACTCCCGTCACGTCAGTTACTGACGAGATGGGGCGAAGTCTGTTGTCATGTTTTCCGAAAGTGTAGAAAATGCGCAAAAACTGGCGTTTCGAAGCCTGAAATTACCTTTGTTAACTTTAGACATGCTGTTCCCTGACCGTAGTACCTAAAATTAACCATTTTTAGAAAATGTAGAAAATTCACGTAAACATGTTCCAAAGCCTGAAATTACCTAATATTCACCATGGACATCCTACCCCTGATCCCAGTACCTAAACTTAACCATTAATCGTGATCCCTCATGTTAACGTCAGACCCCCGACCCAAAGACCCCTAGTGGCGCAACCCGGAAAAGCCGCGGGCGTCAAGGAGTGACGCGAGGGGGGTACCCGGCGCGTCAAAATCGGACGTAGAGGGAACCTTGGAGAAAGCGTCAATATGTGACGACATGGGAGTGAGAATGTGTAGATTTATCATGAATAACATTACATTATCTGCATAAATGAAAAGATTAGGGATGCATAAACATAAGGATTAATACTTTATGCTGAAAAGCATTTTAAACCTTATTTTCAAATACCTATTAAGCTGTTTTATTTTTGTTTTAGGGCAGGGCTATTCAACTGGAGGCCCGTGGGCCACATCATGCCCACTGGTGACCAAAATCCGGCCCACCAATTGGTTCATTAAGTTCATTGATTCTGAAGCCCAAACCCTCGGTTTTCTATTTTAATTACTATTAGTTCCTTAAGTTAAACATGGACGTGTGTGGTGTACAGAAATGTCAGAATCTTGGTCAAAAGCTGGTGAAAACCATTTGAATGAAAACCCAAGACACTCAAAACTACAAGCAGTAGAATATAACTCAAGATAAGTAAAAATAAATTTGGCTTGTCAAAATAATAATTGTGTCAATTGTTTTTGATTTTGTTTTAATATCACTTCTTTTATTACATTGGGTTCTACATGTTGTTTTCATGATTAAATGTAGCAAAGTAAACTAATTCAAAGGTAACAGATCTTTGTAATACTTGGTTTATTTACATAATGATTTTAATTGCTGCTTGGCCCCTCAGCTGTTGGCCTGCACTAACTGTGGCCCTGGAGCAATTTAGTTGAATAGCCCTGTTTCAGGGTTAGATTAAAAAGGTCCAAGGGTCACTTCTGAATTTTCTTATGGACCATTCAAATTGTAAAACTTAAATATAAACTAAATGTAGACAATGTGCATCATTGTTTTTGCTTGTCAAAACAAATAGTGTTAAAATACTGCTAACTGAAGCAACACATCTAACACACAAGAGCCTGATTTTCACTGCAATGCTCAGCACACGAAAGACAATAGAAGTCGGCAGGTAGTTAAAACCCTCTGTAGCTGCTCTGGAAAATCTAAAAATAACTCAGATGAAACAAAAAGCAGATTAGATAAAATACTGCTGAGTTCAAAACATAAACTAACATGAGCTCTAGGACTTTTCCCATTTTCACACGATTTATCCTCCTCTCATCAAACAAACATCCACCGCTTCCTACTTTACAATCATCTGTACATATTTAACAAGGAATTAAAGGTTTGTTGAAACTCATAGTGTGTATGTAAACTGATAAAAGATAAAAAAGCACATTAGCTTACTCCACACTCAGTCATCCTGTGTGTAACTTTGATACTGTGTGTTCAAGTTAACTACATGTCTGGAGGATGTTGGCTCACTGGAACAGGAAGACAAAAGATAAACAGTTTTCATCTTTTCCAATTTATTGTAATTAAGCAGATAAACAAAAGTTAGCTGCTGATCAGCAGGCTGCAAAGCCCCCATTAGTGTCCCTCTGTGTAACCATGCAGGACGACCTGAGGGTAGTTTATACAGCAGGAGTGATCAAACAACAAGAGAAACAGTATCCTGTTGCTGGTGGATTTGTTTAATCTTGAATGAATTCGAAACTCCAGTTTAGTCTGGAAAACATCCACTGGGAACAGGTTTAAATTTGCAGCTGGAGCCAGACCGCTCAGCAACAAACTGGGAAAAGTTTACAGTCACAACAATACCAGCAGCATCAAACTTACAATTAAAACAAAGAATGACATTTTATCAGCTCAGATTGTTTGTTTCCTTTGACTGGAGCATCCCTGAATGTGAGATGTGTTGTCGGCTTTGTCTTCATACTGGGTTTACACTTTCCCAGTCCAGACCATAATGAGTGTGCGGTTGTTGTGTGTTGTGTTGTAATCTTTAACCGCACTTCCACCAAAACAGTAAAACTGAAAGATGTTTATGCCACGGTCATTAACTGTGATGAAATCCTGAAAACCCAACACCCATCAGTTTTAGGGGCTCCTTCTGAACAGTGCTGCAACATGATTACACTGAGTTTGGAAAACTGAATTCATATTACAAATAATCCCAGATTACAGGCTTCAGTCTGGTGGGCTAATGAGGGATTTTCTCCATATAATTTAATATACATATTTCCCTATTTGTTGTGCTTACAGTGAATGTTTAGTTATTATTTAGATATTTTAAAACCTTGGTTCTCTTGCTTTAGTTTTGAACACAGGGATGTAAATGATAAAGTCAGTAGTCATAAAGATATGTGTTTTCTACTTCAGTAATTAGCACAACTGATTGTTATGTGAAAACATCATCAGTAACATTTAATCTATTTCTTCTATCATTAAGAAGTCAGACTCATGAAGGAATAGTCTGATCATTTTTGAAGTGATGTTCCATCCAAGGTTATTACCTTTCAGCTGTGACATCAGTCATAGAGCAGAGTGGGGAGAAAACGATTTCATGTATAACTAGATTAATGGACATTTAAGTGAGATTCCATTTTATATAATTTTTCAGGCTTTTCAACTCTTTTACATTACATTAGTCAACAAAAAAAACTACACTTTTGCTTGACACCTTTTATTTAGTTTGTTGTATTTTTCTCACCCAGTTCATGTTACTCTTTGATTACGTGTGTTCTGAGCACAGCCTCTCGGACTAAAACAAAGATGCTAAGAGGTGCTGATTTATCACTTCACCCGATCTAGTCAGTTCAAAAGGACAGACTGTTAAATTCAGCAGCCTCAGCACCGCTGTCATAAACACAGCCTCTCACATGGGATCACAGACATAGTCTAGATGAGAACAGCAACACACTAAATAAACAATGTCATGCAAAAGTGTAGAGGTTTGGTAATCATCAGTTTGATGCTTTTGAGAAAGAGTTGCTTTTTAAACCTGAAAAATTATCTAAAACTTATCTGCAATTTAATACCCTTTAGCCTAGCATGATTGAAGATTTTTTCCCATTAGTAAATACTCAATATGTCACAGCTCATAAGAGGCTTAGTAATAACTAGTGTTCTTTCACATTGGTGTGAGAAATTGAGAAAGTATTGTTTAATAAATTAAATTTAAAAGTTATATAAAATGTCCTTGTTTTGGTTTTCATTAGCCCAACCTTGAGGATGACCTCACCCTATTTCGCCAACCTCCCTGCTCTATGATTGTTGTCACAGACAAAAATGTAATAACTATTGATAATTATTTGACAGAACATACAGTATTATGTCATTTTGAATATTTCAATAAACTTGAGAGTATTAACCAGATGACAGTTACACAGAAAAATCAGGGATCTGTACAAACATTTATTCAACTTAACTTACTAACTGCAATTGTTTCATTTCACATTAAACTGCCCTCTTGGGAAGCCTGATCCTGAGCTGAAATGGCATGTGAGTGTGTTTGTGAGTGAATGTGGATCCATCTCTGAAGGGGAAAACCAAAGCATTCCCAAGTAGCTAATTTTAGCCACATGTTGTGATTGCTTAATGATTCGATACTTCTGTCCCCCCACACCCACCCTGCATCATCTGTAGCCTATTTAACAGCCAAAAGCCACACTTAGAGGGACATCGTGGTAAAACAAACTTTATTTAACCATATGTCAGTGAAATTTGCCTTCTCTGAACCGATGCAAGACAGAAAAAAAAAGAGTGAAGGACTCTTCCTGTGGGAAAACGAGGGAGAAAGTTTGTTCAGCTGTTGGTCTTTTGTGCAGTTTTCTGTTTGTCTCATGGTGTTTATCGTTCCTGTATTCTTTTACTTTTTCAGACAACACCACTATAAAGAATGTGGTTGAAATAAAGGAAAACATGACCATGGGAACCACACTGGTGACCAATCCCAATGGAGGATTTCTGGTAAGACCAAGTGTATATTTTCCATAGCAGAGCCCCCAAAAAATCATGACACAGCCCCTACAAGTTCACTAGTTCATGACGTTCACTAAACAGTGCATTTCACATGCCATGTTCCTTAATTAGACTTCATGTCTCTGGAGAGTAATGGGATACTCTCCATCGACTGTACAGATGAGGAAAAGATTGAGTCTAATTAAAAATCAACTCCCAGTAACACTTTTTTTTTCAACCTGACAACTAACAAACGAGCATTTATACAACTTGCTAAATGGTCCAAGATAATTTGTGGGGAAAAAAAACTTAATGTAAGCAGATTGTGTGCAGCTGCATGTAGAGTTGAAACCTGAAACATGTTTAACAAGATATGTTAACATTTTTTCTCTCTATGTGTTTATAATCTTAAATTAAACAGAAGTAATGTGTTGAATTAGGGAATTTTCTGTAAGGCCTTAGAATGAAAACATATTAATATCATTACTGATTATTTACCTTTGTAAAAATGATCAATTTGTTAAGCTATCCATCCTGTTTTTCCTTTCTAGGTTGCTGGTACTCACATCCAGCAGCCACTGTGTGGGAGGTCGCACGTCCCCCACAGGGCCACGTAGGGACAAACAAACAACTATTTACAGTACACTCTCATTCACTCCTAAGGACAATTTAGAGTTACATATTTACCTAAAATGCATGCTTTTTTACCTGCTTCTTCCTTTCAGGGCCACAGGGGTCAATGTGCCCAAAATCAGCAGTCACTGTGTTAGTTGTTAATGTTTTGTTAACCTAATAGCGTACTTGCTTATAGGTAATTTTTGGTCAAATATGACTTAGGCAATTATGCTATTAGGCTAACAATTTGAAGTTTTATGCAAATCAAGGACACCCTGCAAAGATTCATCTAGTTCTCCATGAATTATTCCCAACGAATCTTCTACAGCAGGGGTAACAAACTCATTTTCTCTGAGGACCACTTGAGCATTATGTTACCCTCAAAGTAGTCCTTGGAACAGAGGAAAATTTGGTATCAAAAAAGGAACTAAATAATGAGTATACAGTAGGTGTTCAGATAGACCCAGAGTATTTACAAAAATATATGATAGCCATTTTAATTTGCTAGCTAAAGTCTATTAGACGGTACTTTTATTTTTCAAGATGCATTGAATACTGAATAATATGTATTCCCAATAATCTACAAAGAGATGCAAAAAAAATGTGTTGAGAATGGATTGAAACATTTAGGACCATGTGGGTAATAAATGTTTAGATGCAAAATATAAATTTATTTGCTTACTTCCAGTCTAAAAATGGACAAAATCTGGTGGCTTCAGAAAGAACGGGGAGCCCATAGCCTTAGCTGCTCAGAGGTTGTTAAAATATCAATTTCTTGTTTACATTTAAAAATCACCAAACCAAGTCCATTTGAATAATTAAAACTCTGTATAGCTTAGTTCTTTTTTTCCTTTTTCCATATAAAAGTTTACAACTATTCATTTTGTTATTTTATTTTGATACAACTAAATGCTCCTCATCTTATTGCTATGGCTGAGCACCGCTAACAAACAATAACGGAGCTCTTTGTGGTATTTTGTATACTGAAACATTTTAATACGTCCTTTTATGAACACTGAAAAGTACTATGTGTACAACTGACCAAATGCCAAATAAATAATACAGAAATATTATTAAAAGTAAAAGTTTTATTCACTGTTGAGTTGTGGAGAATAGCTGCCATCTTGAATTGTGAACTGGAGGGGGTGTTCCAGTTTAAATTTATGACTTCTAAGTAGGAAATTTTTTCTTTCCAGTACAACTGGGCTGCAGCAAAAGTAGACGGCAAAAAGGCAGCTAAAAAGAGATTTTATGTGGCGAATTAAGCTGACTGCAGCTACCGATTACTTTTATATCCTTACACCTAGAGATGGGATGTCATTTGCGGGTAAAATAATCAACTTGTATTATGGGAGATGTAGTTTATAATCAATGCTTGCTCTAAAGCAGTATTTGCTTATTTTAAGACATTAATATGTGTCTTTGATATAATGTATCTCACGGGCCTTGAGTTTGAAACGTGCTCTCTAGGAGGTGTAATTTTGTGCTTTCTGCAGGTCAATTCTGAAATGAGAACACTGTCATTTTAAAATCTGATTTCAGATTTCAGGGATCTCTGATGATTTAAAACAGTCTCTGTCCAAATCTCAGTTTGAGTAGCTCTTTTCTCTTGGGTTCTCCACTTTGCTCTGCAGTAACCCTGAACCTCTTCTCATCCATGACCTGATGGAAAATGAACCAGTCACAGACTGCGTGTTTGACTTTCTCAGTGTCTGAGTTTGTTTGTGTGTGTCTCCTGTCTCCACAGGCATGTGGCCCTCAGTATGGATACATGTGCGGCCTACAGCAGTACATCACCGGGGTTTGTGCTAACGTCAGCTCCTCCTTTCAGATCCTCAACTCCATAGCTCCAGAAGTACAAAGTATGTAGCATGTCAAAGTAAATATATGCTTCTTTTCTATGCAAGACATGATAGCATTTGTACAGACGTGTCTAACCAGGATAAGAGATCACTGTCTATCAAGCATAGCAGCACCACCCAATACCCAGACGTCAAACTCATCCTTCCTTAGACAGGACGAAGATTAGATCACTCTTCTTAATGTAAACTTGTCTGCCACTCTGTTCCTCCCTGGTCTGGCCCAGCCCAGCCCTTCTGCTGTGTTGTATGCCCAAGTTAGGAGACAGTTTACTGGACTGCAGTAAGTTTCCTTGGAAGGAAACGGCCGTAGAAAAAGTGCAAAGTAAACATTCTCCAGTCATTTGTCTCTTACTGTTTCTCATTTTTCTAAGTTCACTTTCTCTGCTTCTTTTCTATGAGAAGAAAACATAGAAAATGGTCATATAATGTAAAAAGAATTTAAATTTAAAAAATATATATGAATTTTTTTTTCAGCATTAGTACTGTACAGCTTAAATTGATCTTATCTATATTGTGTGACAGTAAATCGCTGACTTAATGTTTTAATGGATGGCAGTTTTTATGAAACTTCATTTTTTGTGCCATGTTTCCTCAAGTGAGAAAAGAAAATGATTGCCTTTTTGTGAGTTAGCATCAGAATAAAACCTAACAGCTCACCAGAGTAAATCTCAGAATGAATCTGTAAAAAACTCTTTGGTACCTCAGCAGCATACAAACGTAACTGTGAACCCACAACCCAAAAATCTGAAAATCTTCATAAACTTATCCAATGATTTAATGAACAGCATGTTTAAAGGAAGGGTATAATGTATTTTATTTTGGTTTGTTTGCTTTGTTTTAAAACTTAAATAGAAGAACAACTATTGCAAAAGCCAAAAAGGCTATTGTTTTATTTCAATGGTTGAAGCAAAGACAAGTTCACATTTTGTTGGTGCAGTTAGGGACCTTCTGACGAACTCCAGGTGCATTAGCATCTTCAAAAGTTGCGTTCCATACAAAACCCCTTGACACTCAAAACAGAGTAAAGTGGAGCTCCATGATGACGCAAAGCACTGCTGATTTCAGTGCGTTCTCTCAAAAAATATTACAATCAATGCAGGTTTGAGTTACCAAAATCTTTAATAATGGTTTCCATTTTGAAGCAGCCTTTCAGCCGCTTTAAACTCTTTTTCTTTGACAACTTCCATCATTTCCAGCATTGCTACATTTTAAAACAACAATCGTAAATTTTATTTTGGCTTTAAATTGTTGTGGCAAACACTAAGGGTTTTTAATTAGTTTTATTTTATGTTTAAGTTTTAAAAACGTAAAAATAAGAAAACAACATGATCATTTTCTTTTTGTGATTTTGTTTTGAAATGGATAAACCAAATAACAAACCATACGAATTCCTCTGCCCCATTGTTATTGCAATTTACTTTGGAGTCACTGTGTTGCAGAAGAAACACAGAATAGGACAGGATGTCTTAATCTAGATTACAGAACAAAATCAGTAGTCTAATGTGTTTATTTGGACCAGTTTAAAAATTGAAGGAATAGGTCAAATCGCTCCATTCAGTATGCCTCATTGTTTACAACAACAAAACAAACTAAATTAAACTTGATATTAACTGTATTTTTCTTGCTTTTCCCCTAGGCTGTTCAAATAAACTGGACATTGTGTTTGTGCTGGATGGGTCCAACAGTATCTACCCATGGTCAAGCATTGTCGACTTTATGTGCCGTTTCCTGGAAAAAACCCATTTTGATCCTCAACAATCACAAGTCAGTTTAATTAGTCAATTTCAATATAAACCAATGAGTAAAACACAATATAATGAATGAGACTTATAATGTGTAATCCACACGAAAAGATATTAATTTAAGGGATTGTGTTAGCTGATTATTTAGTTTTTGATAATTGATTATTTATTATGGGAATTCTTACAAGTTGTAACAAAATTTTACGTCTGTAGTGATATTTTCATCCTATGTTATGTCAAGCCCTACCTTGATTGTGTTTTTGTCAACTTGGTAGTTTTTATTATTACTGTGTTGATCTGGTCTGAAAGTCGCAGAATTCTCCACAGGAAAAGTCTTCTCATTGTGCAGTCTGGTGGGTGAAAGTCGCATCTTCCACAACTCAGATCGTTCCACAGATTGTTTTGGTGCATCGACTCCACCAGACTGAGCCACATCCTCTGCAGACCTCCTGGGAGGGCCTGGCGAGGAGAGAACAGCACTAAAGAAAAAGTGGATTAGATGTAAAAGAACAAAATCTGTGTTTGTGTGTTTTCAGGTGGGCATAGTATCTTATGGTGAGGATGTTACTCACCAGGTCAACCTCAGCCAGTTCCATAACAATTCTCAGCTGCTGGAATTTGTCAAAGCACTTCCTCAGCATGGAGGTACAAAGACCCACACCTTCTTAGCCATCGAGACTGCAAGGTATGCAACAATTGTCCCTTTTATTCATTCATTATGTCATGACTTGTTATAAAATGTCACGTTTCTTCTTTTGTTTGTCTTGTCCTTTTTTGTACCTATTCAGGAAGGAGGCATTTACCCCGGAGAGGGGTGCACGACCTGATGCAAAGAAAGTCATGGTGATACTGACTGACGGAGAATCACATGACAATCATAAACAAGATGCGGTCATCCGCGACTGTGAGAATGATGGAATCTTGAGGTTTGGCATTGCTGTGAGTACAAATTGTTTTTGTAGCATCAAAGATTTTGGATCAGTTTGGCAAGTATTAAGTCCACAATAAGTGTGAACAAGTCATCTAAAAATGCATTCTCTTCTAATGATCCATCTATGTTGTAAAACTATACTATTTTGCAAGGGGTGGTACAGGGGGGCCAAGACATTTTTTTTTACTAATACTCCGGATTTGTAAATTCAAGATGGCCACAACAGCTAAATCCAAATGGTTTTATATCAACTGTTTTAAGAAAAAATAAAAGACCATATTCATGTGAACAAGGAAAAACAAAAAAAAAAAAAAAATACTGAACATAACTTATTCAGCCATTTTTATAAGTATACAAATTACTTTGAGCATGCTTTTCACAAAGCTGAATATATAGTGTAGAAGTAGATAAACACAATCTTAACCAAAGTCTAAATGCAAATCAAAAATTCTGAATACCCACCACAGCTGAATTTGAATGCCATTCTGAGACTTACTGAGATGAAATTTGTTGTGGAATAGCTAAGAATGATCACATGCTGATTGCCAATGCTAATCCCAAATTATGCTAACCATTAATTCTAATGCTAATTTAACAAAGGGCTTTAATTAAACCATTTTTAAACAAACACAGCTAAAAAATAATATAGCATCCAGTAGTATCGGAGAACAAACTAACAAAATCTAAATGCAAATACAAAATCCAGGATCCTCGCATTCTTGTCAATTATTTGGGAGTGGCAACTGGGGTGGCCAATCAGGTGTCAGAGGTGGCACTTGTTGTCCCAACCACCCCTCTTCTCCTTCACTGCTACACTGAAATATTACTACTACTAAATAAATAAATAATACTATCTGTCTGTATAAACATCAAATCAAATGAGCTCCTTTGACAACCTTTGGACTGTTTAAATGATTTAGTCACCCAGGTGAATGTGATTAAACTCTTTGGAGACTAAGTCATAGTTTTGTTTTTTGTTCTTTCAAGGTTCTGGGATACTACAGGCGTAGCAATGGAAGTGAAGAGCAGGTGGAGAAGTTTGTTAATGAAATTAAATCGATTTCCAGTAAGCCAGTACACGATCACTTCTTCAACGTATCTGATGAGTTTGCCTTGGTGAATTTTGCGGACACGCTGGGAGAAAAAGTCTTTGCCTTGGAAGGTAAATACAGAAACACATTTTCACAACATCTGACTTAAGTGCTAAGAGTTTTACTACTATTTCTAGCTCTACAAATGTTAATTTTGCGACTTTTACAGTTGCTAATTCTGCTAATGCTAATATGACTGATTTAGCATTTTGCTACTTTTACTTGTTTTCTTGCCTTTTGCTAAAGTTTTACAATTTTAGGATTAGGCAAATGACACATTATGTCATTAAGTCCCCCCCCCCCCCCCCGTGGAGCTGTCTCATATTATGGAGGGACTGAGTATAGGTGTTATATGGCATTTGACAAATAGTCAATGCAGGTTCCTTAATAATCTGCATGCCTGCGATTTTTGGTATTTCAGTTAATCTTTAGAACTGACATCTTCAGGAAAATTTATTTTCAACTCTCCATCTTCTAAACTTTTTTAGCTGGGTGAGAAATAAAGTGGATCGCAAGATGATTCTGGAAAAACACAAGCATTCAAGTTCCCTAAATCTTTCTCTGTGGCTTTAACTGTATGTTTTTTTTATCTGTATTTTGTTGTGTTTCAGTAGAATCTTTAGGACAGACAGGTCTTTCAGGAAAATATGATTGAAATTGTTCATCTTTTAACTCTGCTTCTTTGTGTTTGATTTCCTATTATATGGCTTTTTGGTAAATTATAGTTGATGCAGTTCCTTCACTCTTGTGTCTGTAGTTTTCTGTACTTTAGTTAAATCTTTAGAACTGCCAGATCTTGCAGAAAAAAAATACTTTCAACTCTCCATTGCCTATTGCTAGTTGTGAATAAAAGTGGCTCATGAGATGATTCTTGGAAAATGTTCAGGTGTCCTCTTCTTTTGGTATTTAATAATATGCTTGTAACTTGTGTTACACACACCAAACAGCTGTAAAGTAGTAGTTTATCATTTTTAGTTAGAATAAAAAGTTTATTGGGGTGAACAAATGTACGTTCCTTGTACAAGTTTGTTTCTTTAAAATAAGATAATTTTATAAATCTGTAAAGTATTTAGCAAATCTATTACATGATGTTTCAGTTTTTGTAGTTTATTAAACTAAATCAAAATGTTTCTTCCTCAGCAACGTCTGGGAATCATACTTCCTCCTTTGAGATGGAGATGTCCCAAACTGGATTTAGTGCACATTCCTCTAAAGTAAGTACAATTCAAATAATTCTATTGATAAATACCTAATTTAGTGTTTGAAAAGTTAGTTGATTGATTTTATGAATAACTGATTTATTTTGTAAACCACAGATTTACAGATAAAAATACAAGACTAAAAGTAATAATTAAGGCAACAGTTATATAACTACTGAACTAACACTTCCTGTAGTTTTGTCTCTATTTCAGCCCTTTGATGATTCACTCAGTCAGTAAAAGATGACAGACTCTTTTCTATGTGTTCCTGGTTGTGTGTTGTCTGCTCGCATTTGAGTCAGAATGAGAAGCGACGCCCTGAGAGGCTGACGATAGATGCTTGTTGATTTAGCCTCCTCATACGCCACTTAAATTCATTTCATAGGTATTTCCTGTGTTAGTTTTAAAACAAACAGGATCCTTTCTTACGTCTCTTCCTGTTCCTGACTCACGACTATCACCTCCTCTGTCACTGTGCACATTGTCTCTGGGCCTGAGGTGGCTTCCATCAACCAGACAAAACAAGTCCATCTATCGAGGGTTAAACTTGTGACCTCACACTTTAAAGGCCATAGTGTAAAAAAAGTGCCATGAATTTCACTGTGTTCTAATCATCGGTATTTGACCCCCAAACCATCCAGTTATATGAAATTGGTGCTTTTAGGAAACAGAGATTTATTGACAAATCATTTTTTCAGTTTTTTTATATTCTATCTCTCACTGTTAAAATTAACACACCCTTAAAATTATAGACTGTTAATGTGTTTCTAAGTGGGCAAACTTGCAAAATCAGCAAGGGATCAAATACTTATTTCCTCCATTGTATATGGACCCATGGCATTGTCCTAATTTTCCCTGCTTCAGGACATCGGAACTTCTCACCATTATTGAAGGAGAATCTAGCTCCTCTTTCAAGAAAAATCTTTTCAATTACTTGAATCCGTGATCTCATGGTTTTGATCCCTACACAGAGTTCAGGTAGGACTGTCGGTAAACAAGCTTTGCCTTGCAGCTCAGCTCCCTCTTTACTACAATGGACTGGCACAAAGTTCACAATACTGCAGATGTTGCACCAACCCATCTATCAAACTTGGAACTCATTCTTCCCTCATTCATGAACAAAACCCTAAGATACCAAAACTCCTCCACTTGAGGCAGAACCTCAACCAAATATTAGTCACAGTGTCAGTTTTTCTAAACAAGTCTTACCTGTGTAATACCCCGCCCACCCAAGTTTTAGACAAAAACTAGACTATTTAGACAACCCTTGATCCTTAAATAAAACATCTCATTGCTTTGACATCTTGTGTGTTTCCTCTCACAGGAGGGTTTGTTACTGGGAGCAGTTGGAGCGTATGACTGGAATGGAACGGTGGTGATGCAAACTGACAAAGAAACCATCATCCCTAAAAAAAATCAGTTTTATGATCCAAAGCATGAGGCCGGGTATGAAGGACTAGCTGGGTACCTTGGTGAGTTCAACAGGATATAAAATACTGTGTTTTCTAACTCAGCTCCATCATACAGGAAACACAACATACAGTAACTGCAAATATTAAAATATTGCGAACTATAAAGTCATAATAAACATTATAATAACTGACTTTGTGTTCAGTTTAGATCAGTAGTGTCCAAAACTTTTAGTTTTAAGTCTACAAAGTGACTTGTGACCCTAACTATAGCTGGGAAAAAACTCTATTAATAAGGCATTTCACAATGAGTCTGTTAGCCACTATATAATTTGTTTATCCTTATATAATAACAGTTTTTGCTACTTTATGACAATTAAAGCTAATAGTGTCATTGGTAATCTTTTCAAAAATTAATTGATTCCTTAGTGTAAACACCAGGCAACATTGCATTTTGAAGACCTTGTGCCAACACATTGCAAACAAACAACAAACAATAAATTTAATTTAGAAATATATTTGCATATAAAAGTCAACAAAAATGATCTGATCACATGTTGCCCAATTATACACATCAAATCTGTAACTGTAAACTGATCAAAAAGGGACAGCTGTACATGCTATATTATTGAGCAGCAGCATGAAATAATCTTAAACTATTTTTGCTACTTTAAATTTTTAGGAACTATAATAAAAAATACATTTCCCTGCTTCAGGGAGTTAAGTGAAATTCTACAGCTGCAGTTTGAGTTGCGAGGAGGATGAAGATATACAATTTGTCAACATGACACCAGACTCTTCTCTCTCCTTATGTGTCCCATAAATAATGTTCTGTATGCAGGCTCTTCTCTCTGCCCCGCTGCCTTTTATGGTGTGTAAAGCAATCGCATCATCTTAATATCAAATTATTTAATCAACATGTCATTAGATGGAGCACTGGTTGGTTCGGGCTGTAAACTCAGCTGTTGGCACATGCTCGAACTGCAGCTGTCGGAGCTCCTGTGTTCTTTGTGTTCTTTTCTGAGAAGTTCCTGCCAGTTTCCACTGGTATTATGCACTTTAACTAACAAAAGCAGACATAAACAGACATTCAAAAAAGGATTTAAAAACATCACATACAGAACTGAAGCACATTGTTTGATGATAAAAAATTTTCTAATCCGTACATGACGATCTCTGTTTGTGTTAGAATGGGATTGTAACACTGTGTTTAAATTCTTTCTGGCAGGATATGATGTCCAGTCTGCCTCCACTCACAAAGGAGTTCTGTACATCAGTGGAGCACCGCGGTACAACCACACAGGCCGTGTTGTTATCTACCGTATAAAAGAGGGCAACATCGTTGTTTCACAAATACTGAAAGGAGAACAGGTGAATGTCAATCATCGCTTCCAACGTCAGTAACTTGTGCACATTGGTTCTCAGTGTGCATCTTGAGAAAGGTTAAAACTATTCCTTAAAGGGGCAATGTCATGTAAAATCAAYTTTTTTGAGTTTTATATCATGTTATAAAATTATACTCTCAAAAAAAAAAAACATGCCCAAAGCCTTGCTT